ATCAGAGTTTTTAAAGTTTTCTTAGAAAACATTTCTACAAGAAACAAAACTTGCCAAACAAACCCTTACAAATGGTGAAAGTTTGTTTCTTTTGAGTTTGTGTTGATAGAAATAGGAATATAGTCAAGTCGAAATTAAATTTATTGAAAATGCAAAGTGCTATTTAAACGGTCAAGTGTCATTTTGTTACACGGAGTGCAATTTTCATGTCTTGTTCATTTCCAAAAATATATATCAAAACCAAATTTCCTACCCACCAACACATTAAAGTCACAAGCTATATATCGAAAAATATATACCAATACCAAATTTCAAACCAACCATTGAAATATGTAATTTATTAAAACTCACAAACTTCATGACTAACACACCAACACAAAGATTCATATTAATCAAACTACAATCTCATTCAATAACTACAACTCCTACGAAATAGTTTTTCAACACAAAGATCCGCCAAAAGCATCTTCGCTATTTGCGAAGCATTTCCGCCAAAAGCATCTCCGCTACAATTCTCTACCTTAATGTGGGGAATGTGAGATATCTTGTCCCATTCGTCTCCAGTCCTGTCCCCGTAAAGCGAAGCTAGACCTAAGGAGGACTTGACAGTCAAATACTCCAGAGACGATGCCATACGGAGGAGGCAATGTGGCAATGCCTTTAACTTGTTGCAATAAACGATTTCTAACTCCCTGAGACATGGCATTATTAAGAGATGGTCTTTTTCATCCCCAGTTATATCCTCCCACTCTTCCCAGTTGGAACAACCACTAAAACGCAATTTCCTCAACTTGGGGAATGCAGGTCCCGCATTCGGTTCCATTATTCCCAAGAATTCATTGCCCACGTATTTCATGCTATGCATCCATAATATCTTAAGCTCCTCAAGCATCGGCAGTTTTCCCAACGGGGGCAAAGATGAGTAGTTCTCAAACAGTGATAAATTAAGCACCCTTAAATAGTTAAGGGACGTGGTGATCCATACTGGCAATTGGGTGCCCTCGTATCCACACATTCCTAAATGATGCAGGTTTGGAGGTGGTTGAAGAGCCTCCATTATGTCCACCATCACCTCCCCAGCAAAAAAGAAGCTCAACACTTGAATGTATTTCTTATTTTTCAATTCTGCATTCTCAGCGTCAACCAAGTCTTCTAACTCAGTCAAGTCTCCTAGAAAAAGTTCTAGAGATCCTCCAAGTTGGTTTAGTTTTCTCAAATATCCCAACTTCCCCGATCCTCTTCCCACAATTAAACCGCTCAAAATCCAAAGACCGGTTAATCTCTCCACTCCTTGAGGAATTGAATTCATATCGCAACCTATTTGAAAGAGAAGGTGTCTTAGATTTATTAGTTTATAGATCCCTTGAGGGAGTGCAGAGAGATCGCGACATTCTTGGAGATCCAAGGTTTGCAAATTATACAAATCACACAAGGTTTCTGGGAGTTCTCTTATAGGATTGGAGCTCAAGTCAAGATACCTCAAGTGAATTAAATTTCCTATCTCTTGTGGAAGTTCTCGCAAACCACAATTGCTCGCAATAAGTACCCGAACACATTTTAAACGGCTAAAGAGATTTGGAGGGAGACCTTCTTGAGAAACATTTCTAGCACAAAAGGTGCGAACTTTTCCGATATCGCAATTTGTACTCTCTACTCCACCATCCAAGATTAAGATGTACTCATCTTTTGAGAGATAAGTAACGAAGTCATGCATTATATCATGCATTTTGCAAAAGACGTTACTTTCACCGTATTCATCCTTTACCAACTCTTGAAAGAAAGATCGCATTTCTAGGTTCTTAAAGATCTCTAACCCCATCATTTGCATGTCATCTACATTTCCACTCGAACCAAGATAACCATGTGCCATCCAGAGCCTGATAAGCTCATCCAATCATATCAAGGTATCTTTTGGATAGATGACACAAATAGAGAAGCAACGCTTAAGAACAGGAGACAAATCATTGTAACTCAAATACAAATGGGGGAAAAGCTCAACCTTCACTTCCTTCAACTGCCACAAAGGACTCTCCAGAACATGTCGCCACTCTCTTTCAGTATCTTTCAAGCATAGTAGCCTTCCCATAGTTTTTGCAGCAAGTGGCAACCCCTTGCAGTTCAGCGCAATCGTTTTACCAATATCTTCTAGTATCTCGCGCTTCTCCTTGTTAAGATAAAGTCAATTTTACT